TTGCACTTATCCACATTAAATGTCAGTTGCCACAATTCTGACCATTTTTCTAGTTTACCTAAATCATTTGCCATTTGGCTTATCCCTCCTGGAACATCAACCCTGTTACATATCTTAGTATCATCAGCAAAAAGACATACCTTACCATCAAGACCTTCTGCAATATCACTAATAAAAATATTAAAGAGAATGGGTCCAAGTACAGATCCCTGAGGTACCCCACTGGTGACAAGTCCAAGCTTCGAATATATTCCATTAACTACAACCCTCTGTTGCCTGTCACTCAGCCACTGCCTTACCCATTCAACAATATTGGAATCCAAACTTAAAGATTGCAGTTTATTGAGAAGCCTTCTATGTGTAACAGTGTCAAAATCCTTACTGAAATCTAGGTAAGCAATGTCTACTGCACCACCCTGATCTATAATTTTAGTTACCCAATCAAAAAATCAATAAGATTAGTTTGGCATGATCTCCCTGAAGTAAACCCATGTTGTCTCTGATCTTGAAATCCATGTGTTTTTAGATGTTCAACAATCCTATCCTTTAACATGGTTTCCATCACTTTCTCCACTACTGAAGTAAGGCTTACTGGCCTATAGTTGCCCGACTCCTCCCTATTACCTTTCTTGTAAATGGGCACAACATTCGCTAACTTCCAATCTTCTGGGACTACTCCTGTTAACAATGATTGGTTAAATAAATCTGTTAATGGTTTTGCTAGTACACCGCTAAGCTCTTTTAATAGCTTTGGGTGTATTCCATCAGGTCCCATTGACTTATTTGTCTTTACTTTTGACAGTTGAAATAGAACCTCTTCCTCTGTAAACTCACGTGTAATAAATGACTAATTTATCCTTTTCTCCCTTTCCTTCATTTTCATCTGTAAATACATAACAAAAATATTAATTGAGGCAGTCAGCTAGACCTTTATCCTCTTCTACATACCTTCCTTCTTTTGTTTTTAATCTAACTAATCCTTGTTTTACTTTTCTTTTCTCATTTATGTATTTAAAAAATGTTTTATCCCCCTTTTTTACTGACTGTGCTATTTTCTCTTCTGTGTGTGATTTTGAAGCTCTTATAACTTGCTTAGCCTCTTTCTGCCTAATCTTATAGATCATTTTGTCTTCCTCACTCTGGGTTTTTTTATAATTCCTAAATGCTAACTTTTTGTTTTTAACTATTTTGGCCACATCTGCGGAGTACCACAGTGATTTCTTGAATTTTTTGCTTTTACTGACAAGCCTAATGCAATTTTCTGTTGCCTTCAATAGTGCAACTTTTAAATAATCCCATTTCTCTTGGACTCCATTTAAATTGCTCCAGTCTGATAATGACTCCTTTACACATATTCTTATTTTAGAAAAGTCTGTTTTTCTAAAGTCTAAAACTTTAGAAAAAAGTTTATCCTCCTTAATTCTTACCAAATTGTACGCACTCCTAAGGTCAAGTTAAGTAAATATCTTAGCACCCTGGAGACTGTCAAACAATTCGGAGATATGGGGCATGGGATAGGCATTTTTTATGGTGATCTTGTTTAATGCCCTGTAATCAATTCATGGGCGTAATTCTCTATCTTTTTTGGATACAAAAAAAGAACCCTGCTCCAGCAGGCGAGGATGACTTACGTACTCATCAATGATTCTACTCTCCTGCGGGGATAAGGCATATACTGCCCCATTAGGGGGCATAGCACCAAGTAGCAGATCTATGGAGCAATCATACGATCTGTAAGGAGGTAGAATATTAATCTGACTCTTACTGAACGCCTCTTTGACCTCCTAGTACTGTATGGGAATTTCGGAGGTCTGAGGTGTAGCAGTAGGCAAAGTAACGATGCACACTCTCTTTTTAATGGGTAACATGCATCTCTCAATACAGTCTTTACCCCATTCCAGTATTTCCCCCTTAGCCCAGTCAATATGAGGGTTGTTCTTGATGAGCCATGGAAATCCTAATATGATGGGACAATAAGGGGAAGCAATTATCTGAAATGTTTTGTTTTCTTTGTGTAAAGTTCCTATAGTAATGCTAATAGGCATGGTTTCATGGGTAATCAGAGGTTGAGAGAGAGGTCTCCCGTCAATAGCATCAACGGCCAGAGGTGATGATCTCTCCTTGATAGGTATGGGTATATATATTTAACAGACTAAGTGTACATAAAGAAAAATTAGTATGCTAATCAGTGAGAAGGAAAATGCCCCGTACGAAAGAAGGAAATGGCCTGCTACTCAGATCAAACCCCAGCAGACTGTGACATCTGCTTCTAATTAATGTTGTACTACTTCTATTGTCAATTAAATAACTTCCTTTGGATTCCAGTTCTAACTATATTTTGATGACACAGATTTACCTTTCTTCCCCTGAGCTTTGTCTCTAAATATATGTCTGCTCACTTTTTTCAAAGTCCATTTTTCCAAAGCAGGACTTCTTCAGCTTATACATAAAATCTACATATTTGTATCTTTGTGAGTCTCTCTTTCATTGGAAAAAAATCTGAGGGAATCGATTGAGCCACGCTATTTCTCATAAACATCTATGGTGCCTATTTTGAGCGGGATCACTCGAATATGACCAAAATACATTGAGAACTTTGAAGGTGATTTGTTCAGTGGCAACATATGTAATCAGAACTTATGAAAGGCCAATTAGATTGGCTAAGATAGAATTAATTTTGAAATATGTTTTTCATAATTTATTGAAGAGCATCATATAAAGTTGCTATATAAAAATTGTTAAATAAATAAACCTCAAACTAATTTAATTACATTTTATAAAGAAGTCAGTACCTGATAAAAGTAAAGGTCAGAAGACAGCAGAAGTATGTGCCTGAAGATAAAAATGGGGTTTTCCTGGCACAATAGTTTCCCTTGAAAGAAACACATAATAGGTCAATGGCACACCTGTCACCTCTTAGCATCATCAATGCACTTATGTGACTGTAACCTTTAACCTGTGATGTATTTGAAAACCCCATAAAAATATCATTTGTTTTTTGTTTTGTTGACTTTGCAATATCGGCTTGAACTCACGTGATGAATGATGAAATTCATAGTTTAGGCCCTGTTTTCAGATTATAATATTTTCTGACTTCCTTAGCTTTACCAGCAGGAATAAGATTAATTAAATTAGGATTGTGATAATTTTGATACCTGTCCCTCGATACCAACCAAAAGCCAGCAAACAACAACGTTATAGTTCATCTTCCAAAGCCAGATTGTAATGTAGGCTTTTGTTTTAAATTTGTGCTCCCCTCATCCTTTCCAATCTTAATTAGATCGTTGCAATTTTTTTTCTTGGTTTGTATTTAAAAATTGTGTTTGATCCCCAGTGACATTCACTCCCCTTTTATTATATATGTTTTTTTTTTTTTAATATTTTGGAGTTGGTTGACTGTCGCCATAAAGTCTTGATTTTCATAAAATGGAGATGTAATAAGTTACAAATGTGACCGTGATTTTTACATTTGTAGGAACACACTTTGTAAATTCACAGTTGACATTTAACTGTGGTCTGAAAAATTTTAACCCTGAAAGAGAAAATGGAAGAAGAAAAAAAAGAAACATGGAAAGGGAGTGACATTGAGAAGAAAAAAGAAATATGTTTTGTTTGCTCTGTAAGGAATAGATTTGATGTGCAGTTTTTACCCTAATGTAAAACATGAGAGATCCCTGGCAACTCTGTACTACTTAAACCTATGCTATTGTTTCAAAGTCCCAAAGCAAATTGTTTACATGGGATGGATGAATGGATAAAGTATTTTAAAGGTCCTCTGTGACATTATTTGTAATGGGTCTCCTTAATTTTAAGAATGGTGTAATAATTCTTCTCACACTACATTTTTGCGTAACAGGAAATCATTTAAAGTAGTAGTGACCTGAGAGCCATAAAAAAGGAAAGTAGTTACATTTTAAAATCCCCCTGGTACAAGCCATAAAGTACTTTCTTTACTTTACCAAATTTTGTTTTGCATTTAAGTGTAAATAATGACTCCAATATTATTTTAGGTACAATAAAAAATAAATCAGATAAAAATTTTAAAAAAGACATATTAACAACTTGCCTTGGGTGTTTCTTGATTTTTCCTACACATTAACTTACCCATTAATTGTGGTGCAGATCTAGGTAGATTGAGGTGTACAATTTAATCTTTGCTGCTAAAAATGATAGTAATAAAAAAAAAATTAAGTTAAATTTTATTGGTTCTCATATATGTAAAATACACAAAAAGAAAACACAACAAGAAACATTTATGATGAAGAAATGAATAGTTAATACAGTAAAAAACAACAACTGTTAGGTATACAGATATATAATACACAGTGTATTGTCTAGTTTTAAACTGCAGATACAAGTATCTCTGGATACCAGACCTGAGATACATCAGATCCACCTTAACTCTTCTTCTTCTTCTTACCAATGTCATTTTTCTACCTGCTAAATAGTGATTTATTTTAAAGCACTAACTGGTACTTTGTGCGGTGATCTGATTAGCTCTAACTTGGGGAATGCGAGAATGTGCCTTTTGTGCATTAAACTTCATATCACATTATTATTATTATTAGAATTTTTATATTGCTAACGTATACTCCACAGCGCTTTAAAATTGTTATAAAATGGCAAATTTAACAATAATTGAGACAATTACAAAATGTTACAGTAAGAAAAGATTGTGAACCCTGCTCTAATGAGGTAGACTTGTTTTGTCTGTCTTATAGATTTTATGGGTAAAATCAGCTGGGTTTTCCTAATGATAAAATTCTATAAAGCTTTATTAATAAAAATATTCATTTTCATTTTTTTAAATTAGTGCTTACTTTTCAACATATTATTCAGTACATGCAATGCAGTGCATTTATGTATTTATAAAATAGGCAGTGAAGTCAAAGCTATAGTGTCCATTTAAAGTGAATCTGTTATATATCTATTCCCTAATAGAAAACATCTGTATGCACAGCTCATATTTGCTTCCGTGCATGAAGTTTCAGTTAGTCTGGCTTTAGGACCAGACATGTTGATATCAACCCATGCATGTATGAGTTGGTGATGTATCCACAAGCAAAGAAACCAGGCTAACTGAAACACCACCAAGAAAAGAGACTATACAAAGAAAGTTTTTTGTTTTTGGGGGGCGGAGCCTGATAGCTGACCAGGACAGTCGCATGCTGCTGGAGCTCTCCAGGTAAATCTCTGTCACAAGCCTAAAACTGTACTTTCTTGCTCCTACCTTGGCTACAATTTTGATCCCACACCTGGGGAGCATAATACCAATCTACTGGCACATTCTTGCCACACGTGAACACAGCCCATGGCAGATTACCTGCAGCCTGCATCTACACTCTGGGTCGGGGAGGCGGCCGATCATGCTAGTTCTGAGTCCTGTTCCCTCCCCTTTGGACCGATGGGGGTTATCCCGGTCCCCACTGGAGCCTTGGTACACTCACCTAACCAAGACTGACTACTTCTTGAAAGGCTGGAGAGTTTTAGCCTTGTGGTCAAAATGGCTGACCCCCTGGGGCCCAGGGCCGGACTGGGGATACGAAGCAGCCCTGGAAAAAAATCTATGCCAGCCCCATAAGTCATTGTGCTATGTAGGGTGTTTATATATATATATATATATATGTATATATATATATATATATAGGCAATTGAAATAGTTGGCTGCACTCTCGGATTTCCTGAAAATGTAACTTTTATTGAAATATTTAAGAGAAGATCAATGTTTCAGTCCCTCTTGTGGCCTTTTGTCATGATCCTGATGCAAGTCAACAAGAGGGACTGAAACGTTGATCTTCTCTTAAATATTTAAATAAAAGTAAAATTTTAAGGAAATCCGAGAGTGCAGCCAACTATTTCAATTGCCTATATATACTGGATACTGGAGCCCTGGTGATGCAACAGTGTGTGTGTGTGTGTGTATATGTATATATATATATATATATATATATATTATTGATACATTTCTTATTCTAATTCAAAATATTAGTTCTTTTAGGGTAATTAAATTATACAGTAAAGCATACTCACACGCAGACAGACAATCTTACTGATGCATACAAATAGGCTCATTGACAGACAATGACACACACAGACAAGGTTACTGGCACACACACAAATTTAGTACAGACAAACTGATACACACACACAAGCTTACTATAAACAAGCTCACTGTCACACACACACGCTCACTACAGACAAGCTCACTGATGCGCACACACTCTCCCTACAGACAAGCCCATTGACACACATGCTCCCTACAGAAGAGCTCACTAACACACAGATTCACTACAGACAAGCTCACTGACACACACATGCTCACTACAGACAAGCTCACTGACACACATATGGTCACTACAGACAAGCTCACGATCACACTCATGTTTACTACAGACAAGCTCACTGTACACACATTCTCACCACAGACAGGCTCCAACACATCCATGCTCCTTACAGACAAGCTCACTAACACACACACACATATGATCCCTACAGACAAGCTCACTGCCACACATACAAGCTCACTCACTAGCAGGCACACACACACACAAACTCACTAGCAGGCACACACACACACACAAACACAGAGGCTCCCTCACTAGCAGATGCGCACACACACACAGAGGCAGACAGTCACTGACACCCAGGCAGACAGCCACACACACACAGAGGCAGACAGTCACTGACACCCAGTCAGACAGCCACACACACACACACACACACAGGCAGACAGTCACTGACACCAAGGCAAACACCCACACATACAAAGACAGGCAGACAGCCACACACGCACACGCAGACAGTCACGCACACACAGACAGTCACGCACACACAGGCAGACAGTCACGCACACACAGGCAGACAGTCACACAGTCACACACTCATACACAGTCACACAGACAGTCAAACAGACAGTCACACACAGTCACACACTCACAGACAGACAGTCATGCACACACAGGCAGACAGTCACGCACACACAGGCAGACAGTCACACAGTCACACACTCACACACACTCACACAGTCACACACTCACAGACAGACAGTCACAGACAGACAGTCACACACAGTCACACACTCACAGACAGACAGTCACACACAGTCACACACTCACAGACAGTCACACACAGTCACACACACTCACACACAGTCACACACAGTCACACACACTCACAGACAGACAGTCACACACACACACAGTCAGTCACACACTCACACAGACAGTCGCACACTCACACTGACCTGTTTCTTCCCTCCTGCTTGGAGTTCCTGGAGGCTGGTTGTTGGGGAAGCAGGGACTCCTTCCTGCTTCCCATGCTGCAGTCAGCCAGGGCCCCGCCGCACGCTAAGCTCCGCCCCCGCACGCTAAGCTCCGCCCCCGCAGCACGCTAGCTCCACCCCCGCCGCAAATATTATTTTTATATTTTTTTATGTTCCCGGCCGGCCATGTGTGAGCTGTGCCGGCCGCCTGGCTCCCCCTGCTCTCATGGAGCTCTGTGCGGCCGCACAGCTCACACATGGGGGACATGGCCGGGATCAGAGGAGCCTGCGCAATGACAGCCCCAGGTGCCGCGGCCCACCGGGAAATTTCCCGGTATCCCGGTGGGCCAGTCCGGCCCTGCTGGGGCCTGCAACCATGAACACCTCCATGCAAGCACTTATACTTATGGAACCACTACTCGTGGCATTTGACAGAGTCTGCAACTTGTTCAAAGTTTTCTGCAAGGAGACTTGCCTCTACTCCTGATGAAATAAGGGCACTCCGGAGCCATCCTGCTGTTCCCTGCAGCAAGTTTGGGCATCCCCCACATGTCTCCGGAGGGGCGCAGCATGGGAGAAAATACAGGAGGATATAGAGGCGGAGATCTCTACTCCACTGCAAGCCGCATATTTGTTATCCCACTTGCGGAGGAACAGGCGCCTACACCTCCGGCGCGATCATCGGTGCCCCATCACGCTGCCGAGAGAGAAGATCCGCGAGTCCGCAGATGCAAGATATAGCCGGCGCCAGGTCTACCTTCCTGCAGCAGATTAGTTTAGACTCTCTGGGGGTTTGGGCACCATGAAGGGCTCCCCCAGGGTAACCAACAGCTGGAAGTATGCATAGGACTAGACATAGGAGGCAGAAGGGCATTTCTTGTAGCTTGGCTGTTATATTGCTATTCTAACTACATACATTATCTGCTAGGTCTACCTACTTTAATTTAGTGCTCTCCTTGATTTAAATCTATGTATCCACCTAGTGACTTAAGTATCTTGTATTTATCCGTAGTTTTGCAGCTCTGCAGCTTCCTAAAGCTTTTCCTAGCCTCATTTTGCTAACAATGTATTTTGGCAACTAATTTCCCTCTCTTGTTTATTATAAAAAGTGCTTTATATTTGACATTTCCTACTTTTCCATCTTTGTATTTACTTGTATACTGCTGTGAAATGTGTTAAGTCAACATGTCTGTTAAATGACGCAATGCAAAAATAAAGATTTATAAAATACAAACAAAAGTTTTCAGTTTTCATTTAGTTATTTGTTTATTTATTTTAGAAAATGAGGAGACAAGGAGAGTATGGGCAAGAGAAAAAATATAGATACAATTTGTATTCAGTGCTCAGACCTTATATCATGTGTGTGTTTTATGAATCTGGAAGATAACCAATTGCATGTGTGTGTCATTAAAAAATCTCACAGTTGATTGACATAATTTTCCCTGTGCATGCTATTTAATTCCAAGGAGCCGGTGAACCTGTGTAGTAATATTGTGTCTCCTTGAGGTAAACCCTCTCTGAAAAAATGCTGCTTTTTCCTTTAATTTACAGATTTACAAACTCTGGCTTTAGCTATTGACAAAGACTTGGATTGACCATCAAAGTAAGACGTCTCAGCAAATTTCAGCCATCATGGGTACATTTTCTTAGATATATAAAATTGACTTTGCATTACTTGGCATAATTTGGATTATGATTTTGGGACTTCTTACCAACCTTATTAAATGTGTGTCAGTTGTGTTGAACATTATTTTTCTTTTGCAAACTATTTATTTCCATCAGTGAACCCCAAGACTGACAAACACATACAACAGGAGATCTTCCAGTATAATAGCAGACACACCTAAATCCGAAACAGGTCCACTTTAAACTTTAAATGTGATGCATTTAATGTACAACTAGTAATGTTGAACTTTCTCTGTTTTGTAATCCTTGAGCTGCGGTCTGGATTATATACGTCAAAATGTTATTTGTAACTGAATTACAGTCCAATGTCTTTTCAGTGTTCAACATACTTTCTTTTAGACATGTCTTATGAAAGACATTTTAGTTTAAATCACTTCCAAATTCGATATATTATAGTTTCTCTGTGAATGTAAAAACATCTGGAGTGCACCAACCCATTTCAGAAGCATCTTGTCCTGATTTACTGTGGGAAGAAAAAAAGATAAAAATGGATGCAAAACTTTATAGAACAGCAGTGGAACTAATACAGAAATGTCCCTGGTGCAATTCATTTTTAAGAAGTGCACAGTGGATAAGAAATTAGATCCCCAACTGTTGTACAACTCCTATGATGCCTTGCCGCCATTGCAGTGCTGTATTTGTGAGCAGACTCTATGCGTTTGAATGTAAGCATGTTTTTGTATGGAGCAGGTGTGTGAATGTATTTGTGTGCACTGTTTGCATCTGTGTTTGTATGCAGTTTTAGAGTTTGAATGCTGGGTTTGTATTTTGTATGTAATGTTGCAAGTGTAAATGAAAAAGAAAAAAACTACCAATAGGTGTCTCAACATAGAATCATAATCAATATTGTCACAGTAGAAATGAACTTAAAACATAACTTTTAATAAGTATACTAAAATATACACATAGAAGACTAATAGTAAAAACAGAAAGCACAAGGCTAAATTATGTCCTGTTGTCTAGATAGAGCTAACACTGAACTCTCAAATAGCAAATATCGCAGAGAGAGTGGTAGTGAAAAAAGATACTTAATAAATCGTAATATAACAGTAGCTACAAAATGTGTAGCAAAAAGTAACAGAGGGGAGCACAGGGTGCATCTATTCTATAGACACTCCTGCAGTAAAAAGTCTTCTCGATATGAGAGGAATGCCTCCTGTGCTCTAAATATCAAATTGCTATATAGCACACTACTGTGGTTAGAAAAATAAAACAATAATTCACAAAAAGTAATAATGAGGTGCCTGTAGCACAGGAGGGTTCAGAGACAGTGAGAGTGAACCGCTAGGATTAGTATGTGTCACAAACCTAGCGCTGGCTAATTGTTACAAATCTGACGCGCGCGTTTCGTCTGGGTTACTCAACAGAGGGGAACTGAAGACAGGTAAGTATAGTATTTATGTGTTAGGGTGACCAATGGGGATAAGGGGGAGGGTTAAAGCTTTCTTGCTACTAATTTTTAACCTTAAAGATAATTAACTGTAAAAGTGTGACGATATCTTGTAATACGAAGAATGTGACTTCTTACAAGCTAATACATAAAAAGCCGAGATCACTGAAGATAGAGTGATCGGTGTATAATATTGGGAATCATTTATAACTATATATAGAGGAAAAAAGTAGAAAATGATCTGGTCGTCTGTTGAATGTTCTGTATCAGTGTTACAGCCAGGGAATACTGGCTGACATCAGAATGAATTACTAATGCAGATCTTATGGACAGTATTCAGTGCATGCTGTCCATGGGAATAAGGTCACAAATATTGCATATAGTAGGAATATTATAATGCATAGAGACTATAAAAGTATGTAATGTTGCAGTCTAATTGTAGAGTTTTTTATATGTAGTGTTGTAATTCAAATGCATGGGCGTGTTTGTGTGTGGTGTTCTGTTTGATTGCAGTGGTGTATATGTATGAAGTGTTGGCATTTAGAAAGCAAGTGTGTGTTTATGTTTATTGTTGGTGTTTGAATGCTCAGAATTGTGCACATATGCACATACACTGCTACACATAGATATACACACATTGCCACATAAACACAGATACACACACATATACAGATACACTGTCACACAAAGACAGATGCGAAACACACTTGCTGTGACACACTAAACAAACATGTATACACATACAGATATGCACTGACACACAGATACACGTGTACACTGACAATAACATAGATATAGAAGTTAGTATTTGCATATTTTAAGTCCCCTTTTTTTATTCCATACCTTTTTGGTACAGTATGGTGGTTTCCCTGGATACCAATGGATCTGGCTGCTGACTGAAGCTTGTGGAGTGTGGTGCTAGCGCAGACTGTCTTCTCCCCTCCACTCTTTCTTCTCCAAGCCCATGGAGTACTCACTGTAAACTGGAAGAAAGTGACCAGAACTCACTTCCTCCCACCACTGTTGGTCTGAAACCCGATGGAACCCCCACAGATTGCTGGCCCGGGTGCAGCCACACCGGCAGCAGTTCTGACACTGCAATAGCATAACAAATTAAACAAGCTTAAAACAAATATATGTCATTGAGGATACTAAAACACCCCAAAGAGTACTAAATATTTGGATCTCAACTTCTAAGTGTGTACCAGTCCAAATAGTCCAGTATTTAAGAATGTCGTTTACAGTGTCTTGGTGTGAGGAAGAACAGACAAATGATAAATATATAAGTGTAGCATATGAATAAATGCCTTTTTGAGTTTCTGGATTTGTTTACAGTGTGGTTGCTGTTGTTAAAGCAAGACTGTCATCCCCACCCAAAAAAAATTGTATTTCATAGATATAGAAGGAAGAATATATTCCTCTTATATTATGAATTACTCATTTGGAATGTGTTACAATTTCACTGATATTCCAACCCAGTCAAGAGATACACAGAGACAAATTATTTTGTCTCTGTATTTCTCCTCCGTCTGACTTTCTTAGACTCAGGGCAGAGTCTTAGTGTCAATCAATTCAGCCATCACTAGTGACGGCTGCAGGGAATTGGAGAATTTAGAGAATGCTATGGTGTCGCGGGATCATCCATATACTGTACTTGTATGCAAATGCCAGAGTGGCATCAAAGAAGAGTAAAGAAGATGGCTATGCCCGTGAGGGGTAGGTTCAGATAAGTAAATCCCCTGTCCCCGCCAGCCACTGGACCCCCTTGGCGATGTCACTTTGCGAATTTGGCAAAATCCCAGATTTTATTTTAGTTAGATTTGTCTGCCATATTTTGGATTTTTTTGGACCATTTGTAACTGAAGAAGGAAGATTGAAGAAAGAAGATCTTCAATCAAGACTATTTTTAGATTATTTGGGCCACGTTTTTAATTAAATGTTAGTGGGAGGGTAGGTACTCACTTATTTTGAAAGTGTAGCTTAGAACCCTGGACATTCCAAGCTAACTGGAGGGGTTAACTATGCAGCCTGGAGACTGTGCATCTTATTATTATTATTATTTTATTATTTATAAAGCACCTGCAAATTCCAAAATGTTGTACAATGGGTGGACTAACAGACACGTAATTGTTACCAGACAAGTTGGGAACACAGGAAAAGAGGGGTTGAGGACCCTGCTCAGTGAGATTACATTCTACAGGGTTTGGTGTAAAGTGACAGAAAGGGTAAAAGTAGGGAGTACAGACAGAGGATAGACGTAGGTCTTTGGCAGAGTTCTGGGGCATAGGCGGGACAAACTTGTGTATTAGGGAGGATAGGTAGGTTGGAGTAGCATTATGTAGAGACGTCTAAGCAAGCACCAGAATCTTAAATTGAGCCCTATATCTTACAAGAAGCTAATGTAGGGACTGACAAAGGAGGAGGTGTGGGAGGTGCGAGAGGAGAGGAAGATGAGCTTTGCCACTGCATTCATTATAGATTGCTGGGAACACGTGAGACCATTGAGAAGGGGATTGCAGTAGTCAAGGCAAGAGAGAACAATGGCATGGACCAGCACATAGCCGCATCCGGCTTTCAATAGGGGCAAATCCGCGTTATGTTTTTGAGATGTATGTTGCAGGACTTGGCAATCGACTGGACATGAAAGGTGAAGGTGAGTTTGGTTATAAGTGCTTGATTATAAGTGCTTGTTTTAATGAACACGCATTTTATGTTTGCCTTCTGGTTATCTTTTGTCTATATATTAATTTATAGATTAAATTCTCCATACATGGTCTTTAAAACAGTAATTTTTTGTGTCATTTTGCAATGTTTGTAATTTAACAGAATCTTTCTTCCTTTAGTAAAAAAATAAAAACTTTTTCAAAGACGGAAAAGTCTGAAAAGTGACCAGAACTTAAATGTTGGTTACACTTTGAATGTTTGGTTTTTAAATACTGCCAATAGTGTAGGGTATGATGTCACAGTCATAACTAAGAGTGTAATCTGTTCTAATCAGACCTGACGATACCTATAGTATTGTGTTTGAGTAAGGTACATAATGGCGGAAATCCGAAAACTAGAGTTTAGTTTGATTAATCAGATGCAGCCAGCCTTTACCTCAGACTCACTGACTAGCAAATAGTTA